TGGCCAAGAGGCCCTGCAAGGACATTCCCGAGTGCCTTACAAAACGTGTCCTGAGAACCCATTTGTTCTATACTCTGATGAATGTTCATTTGCATCTCAAAAGAAAATAAACACTGGAAAGAAATTAAAAGCCCCCCCCCTTTTTTTAAAACATATTTTGCAAGGATGAACAGACACAGCAACCGGCTGCGTGCGTGGCACCCTAAATAACAGCAGGTAGTTTGTGAAATTATGAGATTGACAGCTGAGAAACTCCTGGCAATGTCCAAGCACCACATAAGAGACAACAGGCAGCCGGACATGGTGGCGCACACCTGTCATCCCAGCAGCTCAGGAGGCTGAGGCAGGAGGGTGGCGAGTTCAAAGCCAGCCTCAGCAAAAGCGAGGTGCTAAACAACTCAGTGAGACCCTGTCTCTAAATAAAATACAAAATAGGGCTGGGGGTGTGGCTCAGGGGTCAAGTGCCCCTGAGTTCAATCCCTGCTATCCAAAGAGAGAGAGAGAGAGAGAGAGAGAGAGAGAGGGAGAGAGAGAGGGGGACTCATGATGTTTCTGTAGGTTTAAAGCTATTTAAAAATAAGAAGTTGCAAAGGAAAAAATTGCACCATGGAAAATTCAGATATTTTTCCAAGAATACAACAATGATGCAGTATTAGGAAGCCTGTCAACGTAACTCAGTACCTTAAATCAGGAATGAGAAGGAGACAGGAATGAGTCAGATGGGGACCCACTAGCCTGGAAGGTCTCCCACCCCATTCAGAGTGGGAGCAAGGGGGCTTCAGAACCAGTGTGGTAGAATGTTATTCATGTTTTGGGAACAAAAACAGAATCCCTGTGTCAGACTGTTAAGACTGAGAAATAAGATTAGGAGAAGAGCTTTACTACTTACTGTATGTTTCTGAAGCATTTAAGAGCTTTCGTGTTCACCAATTCCACTAGTAGTTTTTAAAAAGAATAAATAAGATCCATATAAAGTTTCTAAAGTCATTTTGAGTCATTCTAGGTCTTCCTTTCCAGAAAGGAAAAGGACCTTTTGCATTCTAAGCTCCTCAGAGAAAGATTTAGAAACCAGGCATTTTCTCTAAAACCCATTTCCACCCCTTCAGTCTGTTGATTCTGCCAAGAAACCCTTTGAATGCCATTCCAATTGGAAGAGGAAGAGGATGGTAGCTGAGAGTTGGAGGGTAGCTTAGTGGTAGAGCACCTGCCCAGCTTGCCTGAGGTCCTGGGTTCAATTCCCAGCACCACCACCAAAAATAAAAATACCAAAAAAAAGGAAAAATTACAGTGGACATGTTGTGAAGGAATAAAAGAACTCCTTCTGTTTAGCTCTCCATCCTAAAGCCAGAGACGTGCAGCCACAGAAAGTCCTTCAGAATGAAATCTGAGTGTCCTCAAGTCCTCTGCTCTGGTCCCTCCCCCATAGCCTTACATTCACCCACCAGATTTCCCTGTGAGCAGCTCCTTCTCCAAGACCCAGAGGAGGACTCGCAGGGAGAGGAGAGTTCACACCCACACTTGATGCTGAAAGAGGCTCTTCAGCTGTTGTTCAAGCCGACAGCAGCCCCTATTCCTGGACTCACTCAAGGTCTCTCCTAGGAGCCCTGGAAAGATGGTTGTTTGCAGAGGAGGGGGTCACATACGAGATACTGGACTGGCAACAAGCGATCAGGGCTGGTGGAGACCCATTCGTGGCTTGCACCCAAGTACCCCCCAAGTCAGGTGGTCAGCATGGCCGCCCTGACCTGTATTGAACAACTCCAATGGCCCCAGGCCCCCTCCCATCCCACTTGAGCTCATGGGCAATGAATGCCTGGTCGATGGAGGTGCCCTTCAACATGGCACAGAAGGGCTGTTCTTCCCACACTGTTGGTCATTGCTGCTGAGGGCATAAAACTGTCTTCTTATTCAAAAAGCCAAGAGTTCACCTTGTTTGAGGCAATATAATGACACGGAGTCTCATTATATTTTCTTTGGTTGTGGCAACATCAGCCATCACTATGACTAATCTCTGAACTATGTTTTTTAAGGAAGAAAGAAAGAATAATGAGTAGTTTGGGAGAGGCCACCTCTTCCTAGTTCTAGATTGAATTATGAGCTCTGGATTCAGGCTTCCTAATGTTCTGTGCAGGGACTTGGATTATGAAGCCTCCAGAACAGCTTCTCAAACTTGGGTCCTCAAAGATTTGGATCCAGCCAGGTTATTCTGTTGCACCCCAAAGATCTCGGCTTTCGGATAAGAATAGCACAGGGAGTAGCAACTCGGTAAAACGAACATTTGTTGAACATATACTCTGTGCTGGGTCAGTGCTAAAACCCTTCATGTGCATTAACTCACTGAATGCTCCAATGTGAAGTAGGTGCTGTTACTGATGTCCCCAATTTATGGATGAAGATACCGCACCTAGAAATGTCAGTAACTCACTTTAGCTCTCACAGCTGTTAAGACATGGAATTTGAACTCTGGTCTCCCTAAGCTTAGAGTTCATAGTCCATTCCATAGTTTCTTGGAATATATTTCAAGATATTGGGCATCTTAACCTCGTAGAGGACAGCTGCCTGCACCAAAGGTTTTCAATCCTGTGAAACTGTAAGTGGAAGCAACCCAACTGTCCATAGAGGGATGGGTGGATACACAAGTCGTGGCCCATGCCTGCCATAGAATATTATCCTACATTAAAAAGAAGGGGATTTCTGAAACATAGGTGAACTCTAAAGGCATCAGCCAGTCACAGAATGGCAAACACTACATGGTTCTGTGCCGCAGTCTGGCTGGGCACAAAATCACGAGCCACTCAAGCAGCAACAAAGTTTATTTTTTGAAACTGCCGCCAATGTCTGGTACCGCCCGGGGAAGATTTTTTCCACCCACGCGGCCTCCTCCCGGACCCGCAGAGAGAGCTCCTCCCCCGGAACTCCCTCCTACTGTACTTCCCCAACCAATGGGAACTCTCCAGGAGTCCCGTAGCCGGCCTAGGTGAACAGCAGGAGTCCAATATCCATATGAATGCAAATCTTAACATAATCATATCATCTCAATGGCTAGCTGGCATCACCTTTAGACCAAAAATGCCATGCATCATATACTTGGCTCTTAGCAGTTCTGCATCTAGGAGGTACCCAGGACAGTCAAATTCATAGAGTCAGAAAGTAGAATTATCATCTTCAGGGGTGGAAGGGTAGGTGGAATGAGGAGTTTAGCAGATGTGGAATTTCCATTTAGGAAAGAAAAAGTTCTGGATATGGTTGGTGGTGATGTTTGCACAACAATGTGAAGATACTTAAATGTCATTGAACTGTGCACCTAAAAATGGTGAATTTTATGCATAAATCACCATGATAAATGCAACCCTCAAAATGTGTGCCTCGTCCCCACACCAGTTTAAGTCAGAGTCTCTCTGGGACAAGGCCCAGATATCTAATGATCTTAACTTCCCATCTGTTCCTAATGGGCTCTCAGGGTGCAGAACCCCAGATCTGGGACTCCGATTTCTGGAACTCACCAGAAGTCCCCGAGTTGTCACAGGTCCTCACTCTCTTGTGCAAACAAGGTGCCTGAAGCAAGTCCTCCTCGTTACTGATCCTCCGAGGCTATTGCTGACTAAGGTGGCTCAGCTCCAGGAATTAATGAAAGGCTCCAAAAGCAAAAAGTTCTGTGGAATCCTGGGTATTTCTCTGTCTTGGAATTGTCCGCACACACCTAACCCCCCTTGATCGTCCAGGAAGAGGACAATCATTACTGCAGTGATGATTTCAAAGCAAAAATAGAAGTTTCCAGTGAAACCTATGGTTCACACCACTGATGGAGACCCTCAGTACATATCTCTTAAATAAATATGTCAGACTTCTTTAAGCTGCAGCTCAACTTTGGGGTGATTCTTAGCAGTGGGAAAACAAAGAGGGCTTATTGTAATGGAGATGAATAGTTCTGGGTCTTTAGCTGAGCTGCAAGGATTCTTGAGCACCTTCTCTGGGCCTGCCCCGGGCTAGCTCAGAGAACTCCAAGATGCCCTCGAGGCACGCACATTCTGCAGGGCAACTTCCAGGTCCGTACCTCTATTTAATCCATACAGATACCTTGAGCTCCTACCCTATGCCAGACACTGCTCAAAGAGCAAAAGAGGCAACATTTAAATATTTAACAAGTTTGGCACAAACACAGAATCAGAAAGGAAGTTCCTCTGAGCCCAGTAATAACCTATAACATGCTGGATTATGGAGATATGGAGGAGGGGCGGGATAGACAGGACATTGGGGAAAGGAGACAAAGCTTAGTGCAACCTTTTAATAGGGAAAGCTCTACCTGTAGGTATCGGTTGAATGACAGGCTTGGCCTGGGCATAGAGGTGGTCCATTCCATCAAAGTCCCTGACCTCAGGGACTGCCCTTCTCATGCAGAAACAGGTGAACTTTTATTATAAATGACCAAATAGCAAATATTTGAGGCCTAACAAGCCCTACAGTCTCTGTCCCAACTATTTAATCAAAATAGTCACAGACAATAGTAAACAGATGGATGTGGCTATGTTCCAAGCAAACTTTTATAAAAAGAGGCAGAGGACTGGGTTGGGCTCATGGGTCCTAGTTTGCATAGTTGGTGCTAGTGGACAAGACAGATGTCCCCCTTCATCCTATCATCCTACAAACGTGTGCCAAGCAAAAAGGCACTGGTATATGGTGCTAAACAAATTAGACAACGGGTTCCTGCCCACATAGTCATAATATTCCCATGGGAGAGACAAAATCAATCCTTTTAGTAGTCTCTGGGACATGCTAAGATGAAAGCAATCAGGAAATACAGAGAGGGTGGTTGACTCTACCTTGGAGTTGAGGGGAGGCTTTTCCCAGAGGACTTGCAAACCATGCTGTGTGCTCCTCAGCCCAGAGCTGAGAGGAGCAGAGTCACCGAGACCTCCTAGAGACGTTTGATAAGGACAGCCTGCGAACCCTCAGGCCTTGTGGGTGTGTGATGTCACCAGCTCTTCCCTTGTGTCCCCCAGTCTCTGAACAGCTACAACGAAGGAGACTTGGAAGGAGCCAGGCGGCTGGGGAGGAATGCCAAGTGGGTGGCCATCGCATCCATCGTCATCGGCCTTCTGATCATCGGCATCTCTTGTGCTGTGCACTTCTCGAGGAAGTAAGTAGGCCTTCTGAATCCCTCCCCGTGGGAACGCCTCCTCCTGACTGCCCACTGGCACCTGCTAGGATGGGTTAGGGTCCACTTCAGTAACAAACAACTCAAAACAAAAGGCATTTCCTATCTGCTTCACGTGACCCCGGACCATGTTGTCAGGAGGAGGTCTCTCCTCGACACAGTCATTCAGGGCCCCAGGATGACCCAGCTCCACCACCCTGCAGCTATCCTACCTAGAAAAGTGGGTGACTGGATTCAGCTTGTCATGACCACTGTCTTTTTGAATTGTAACCACCACGATTGCCCAGAATAATGCTAGTCGTTTGTCCTGCATAATTTCCCAGCAACTATAAATAGACAAAACCATCGGAGTGGTATGTGGGAGCTTTAAAACCAGATTCTGGCTCCAAGGATGCACCTGAATCTTTGATCTTAAGATAAACCAGATACATTCTAGCCAGGTTGGAGTCCGTTTTGTCCTAACCCATACACCCTCTTTCTGACCAAATTGTGAGAATTCAACTCTCTTGCTGCCACCCCGGATGATGCTTCCATCAGCAAGAACCCTAATAAATTTCACCCTTTGCAATCCCAGCCTCTCTCTTGAGTCTCACCACATCTTGGGGTGGGTCCTCGTCCACTAGAACTGGGTTTTTCTAGAACAAGGGGTCGACAAACATTATCTACAAAGGGCTAGGTATTAAATATTTTAGGCCTGGCAGGCTTTATGGTCCCAGTCACTGTCTCGGACACAACTATTTGAGTCTGCCATCCTAACACAAGAGGAGCCTTGGGCAATATGCAAATGAGCAAGTGCAGTATGCAAATGAGCGAGTGGCTGTGTTCCACTACAATTTTATTTATGAAAATAAGATATCTTGTCTGTGGTCCTCTGATCTAGAACATGGTGTATCCTCAGGCTGAGACAGGGAGAAGGAGGAGGATCAGAGAACCTCATGTGGACTTTTCATGGCAGAAGTCCGGGAGTCACAAATGTCACTCAGGCTCACCATTAGACGAAGAAAACCAGTCACACAGTCCCATCTAACAGTGACAGGGTGGGAAATGCCTGGGAGTTCATGGTGTATTTAGGAGTGTTCCTTGATCTGCATTACCACATGATCTGTAAGATGATTTCCTGTGTGATGTGGCCTTAAACTAGCCCAGTGATTCTTAGTTTAAGGGCCAAAAGAACCACGTGTGGTTTGGGTATCAGGGATGAGCCCTGATCTCATAAAGAGACGGAGGCTGTTAATTGGGACACGTGTCTTCTGATTTCTTCAATGAGCTGAGCTAAGCTCCATCTGCTAGAATCAATGACTCTTTCCACTAGAGCTCTGAAAGAGGACGAGGGGGTATGATGGACAACCCAGACCCAAAAATTACAAGTCCACATCCATCTGTGTCTAGCGGGGTAAATTCTGGTGATACAGATAAGAATGCCGAGAAATTCTTTAAGTTTCTGCCGGAGAGGTACAACTATGTCTTCCTATATCCTTGACCCCATTCACTTTGCCCCTTGAGCTGGGCAGGGTGATTCCTTGGCTCAGTTGACTAGAGAAGCTCATCTGGGTGGGTGAGGGAGGAAGTAGGCATCCTTCATCCCGCCAGATCAGCCAGCTTGACCTTGGCAACCAAGAGAGCAGCGGATATCACAGTGGACCAACTTCCTATCGGACATGCCAGAACTAGGAGCAGTCAGTGGCCAGATGGAGGGGGTGATGTCAAGACAGAAACTGTCCCAAGTGAAAAAATAGGTGGCTCTGCCCCCAAAAGGGAGAAAAGGACATGGACACAGGAAGCTCAAGGCTTCTTGCTTTGATGGCACGGATGTCAATAGGGTCTAATTGATTGAAAGTTTATGATATGGGCCCATGAAGAGGAAGACAGTTGGGAAACAGTTGTGGACCCTCCTGACTTTATCCTTTAAAGAAGGCACAACATGCTGTGTGTGTGTGTGTGTGTATGTATGCACATGCACACGCGTGCATCATGGAGTACAGGATCAGTGGTGCAGATCAGCCTGATCCCAGGCCCTCTCTTAGCATTGACTCACCTTCAGCCATTTGTTTAACTTCTCCTAACCTCGGTTTCCTCATCTGCCTAATGGGGGTTGTAATAGTACCCATTTAATTTCATAAAACTATTGTAAAAGTTAATTAGATTGACCCACAGAATTTGTGGAGTTTGCTGTCTGTTTCTTAAGTGGTACACTAAAAATGCTGACCATTCATGAAGCCCATTATTACTACTGTCACCAACATTATGGATAATGAGGACCCCAGGATATAAAATGCCATTAAATAGAGTTCAAGGCTCTGTATCTGTGACTCACACTCAAAGGACGGTGTTCCCAGGGAATGAGACCAAGTCTTGGCTAAACTCCTGAGGATTAGGGAAATACTCACTGCCCAGATCAGAGCGTGAGCTAAGAGGGTTATAATAATAGCAATCCACACTGGTATTGACCTTGTCATTTGTCAGACACCATTCCAAACACTTACATAGATTAATCCTTGTTGAAGCCTCACAGCAATCCAAAGAGGTAGGTATTATTATCCCCATTTTTCAGAGAAGGAAACTGAGGCTCAGAGATGAAGGGATTTGTGTAAATTTCCATAGCTAATTAGTGGGAAACAGGATGTGAGTGTGTTAGGGCTTGAGTGTGTGTTCTTCATGCTGTTCTTTACCACAACTGCACACGACCTCCACAACAATGTGACCCTTCTGGTATGCACAGAAACGAAGGCAGTACTTAGCACTTGCCTTAGAACTAATGCCAGCACCCCTTTACAAGGGGATGGGGTTAGGGTTTCCCACTACAAAACATGTGAGGACCCAGGCCAAGGGTCACCAAGTCCAAGTACTGCAGGACTCAGGCAGGGAGCCTATGTGAATGAAGGAGCCTGGTCACGGGGCAATAGGGAGTGGTGGGGACTGTGGTTGATTGGTTTAAAGAGAACAGCTACCACTCTGCCCCAATTTTACCACTTAGCACTTAAGGCCCCATTTTTCAAGAGGTGTTAGAGATCTGGGCTTTTGTATAAGCTCTTCTGATTTTTGGATGTTGACTGCAAATTCATAGTGTTACAGCCTGGGTACTAACTACTTTGTATTTAGTTGGCAATCGGTGGTGGACAATTTGGCTTTCAAAGATTAGTTACCATGAGACATTGTCTAAGAAGTTTTGTAAGGGGCACGGAAGTCTTCCTAGATAGGGACGGCCTTCGTTCCTCTTATGTTTCTTTCTGGATGTGTATATACTTGTGATTGAAGCTTGCTTACTTAGGAATACAAAGTATGAGAGAGGGTGATTTCTCATTCCTTCTTCCTAAGGGGCAGTGTCTCCCAATGGTTAGAGCCTAGACTTTAGCATCAGTTTTAGCAAGATTCAAATCCTAGTTCCAACGCACAGACCATATGAGCAAGTTATTAAATTCTCTATGACTCTATTTCCCTATTAAATAAAAACAGAATTATTTCCCTATCTATAAATTCAGATTCCTTTTTATGGTTCTGGGGATTAAACCCAGGGTGCTCTACTACTGAGATATATTCCCAGTTCCTTTTTTTGTTTTGTTTTCATTTTGAGACAGAATCTCACTAAGTTGCTGAGGCTGGCCTTGAACTTGCGATCTTCCAGTCTCAGCCTCCAGAGTCAGTGGGATTACAGGTGTGCACCACCTCAGATTCCTTTTAAATATTTTCCCTCCATGTTATCAAAGAGAACAACAAAAAAAGTTTCCAGAGTTAGAATCCCATGGAGAAACTCGAATTTAAAGTGTTTGTCATGTGTGTGCAAGAGAGAGACACACAGAAAAGAGAGACTGACACAGGGAGAAGAGGCAGAAAGAGTAGGAGGGAGCGGGAGTAAAAGAATGAGCCAGACAAATAAAGGAAAAAATGACAGAGAAAGACAATAAGGAACTAATTCTTAGAAAATGAAATCAATTCTATTTTCCTATAAAGATAAAAAAAAAATATAGCCAATTTCTCAATAATCCTTTGGAATAAAAATTCCCCAGCCCTAGTTTACTAGAAGAACTGAATGGCAATGCATAGCCACTAAGGAAGAGTTCCCAACCCTTACACTGCAGAAGAATGATCTGGAAGGTTTAGAAGTCCTCATCCAAACCCACCTTCAAAAGATTCCAGCTCAGCCAGGCGCAGTGGCCCACGCCTGTCATCCCAGCAGCTCAGGAGGCTGAGGCAGGAGGATCGCGAGTTCAAAGCCAGCCTCAGCAACAGCAAGGCCCTAAGCAACTCAGTGAGACCCTGTCTCTAAATAGAATACAAAATAGGGCTGGGGGTGTGGCTCAGGGGTTGAGTGCCCCTGAGTTCAATCCCTGGTACCCCGCCCCAACACCAAAAAAAGAAAATTCCAGCTCACTAAGATAAGACATGAATCCCAGGAATCCGCATCTTTTCAGCTCTTCACACCACCCTGGAGATTCAGACACTGGTAGTTAGCAGAACCCTCTTTGCCAAGTCCTAGAAAATTTCCTCTCCCACACCCAAAAGGAAGACCACACCTACGACGGTAGCTGTTAACACTGGGGTCAGTTTTCATTTACATCAGCAAACTCATCCTCCCAATTTGTTCCAAGTCATTGCCAAGGACGGGGAATAGGGTTACTGCCGAGCAGATGTCCCCAGAGGAGTTTCTGTTGGAACAACCTAAAGGTAGCAAGGACTTCCAGAGAGGGCTGGGGAAATCTGACTTCAAAGGACACCAATTCCCAGATATGGTGGCTCGTGCCTATAATCCCAGTTACTCAGAGGCTGAGGCCGGAGGCTAGCATGTTTGAGGCCAGCCTGGACAAATTATGAGGCCCTATCTCAGAAAAACAAAAGGTAAGAAAGGAAGGAAGGAAGGAAGGAAGGAAGGAAGGAAGGAAAGAAAATTTTTAAAAAATTTAAAAAGATACCAAGTCTGGAGATCAGATAAAAAGCCATAAATGTGTGTCTAAGTTTCAATCAAAAATGTAAACTGCCTTTTAGTC